CGAATGGTGGTTTCCGAGCTCTGCGGGTCGTTGACATTCGGCGCAAAGGTGGGAGGATCACCGGGGGGAGAGGGCTCGGCGCCAGGGTGGGCGGGGGCAGGTCCAGTAGGAGCGGTGGGGGCCACGGGCTGAAGTCCACCGCCTTCCTGAAAGACAACCGAGCGAAGGTTGTAGCTGCTGACCACAACAGAGGAGAGGAGCACCTCGACGAAATGAGCATAAGAGTGCCAATTAGCAGCAGATTTGTCAGGCAGCAACTCGAGTGCGTCAACCGTGGCAAGGTCGACGGAAGAATCGGACGACGATGCCATAGAGATGAGGGTGGGTAGAGGCTAGGGCAGGTGCGAGGGTACCGTTGCCAGTGCTGCTGCTGGCCCTGCTGCCCGTGCCGCTGCTGGTTCTGCAGCTGGTGCCGCTGCGGATGCTGCTGCGGGTAAGATGGGAGGAGGAGGAAGGGAGGAGCGGGGTGGGGAAGGTGGAGGAGGAGGAGGGCGATGCTATGGGGGATGCAAGGGGGGAGGGTGCTGCTGGTGGTGCCGCTGCAGGTGCTGCTGCTGGTGCTGCTGCAGGTAGGATGGGAGGAGGAGGACGGTGGAGGAGGAGGGCGATGCTATGGGGGAGGCAAGGGGGAAGGGTGCTGCTGGTGGTGCCGCTGCTGGTGCTGCTGCTGGTAGGATGGGAGGAGGAAGGGAGGAGCAGAGGGTGGGTTGGGTGGAGGAGGAGGAGGGCGATGCTATGGGGGAGGAAAAGGGGGAGGGTGCTGCTGGTGGTGCCGTTGAGATGCCGCTGAAGATGCTGCTGCGGGTACAATGGGAGGAGGAAGGGAGAGAGGGGGGGAGGAAGGCGATGCTGCGGGGGGGGGGGGGGACGAGGAGGGCGACTGGGAAGCCCGTGGCGAACGCACGCAGGACAGCCCGCGGCAAACGAGCGGGACGTGCAGAGATGGGCGCGAAATGGTCAGATATCAGCGCGGGAGATGCAGATCTGGTCGCGCGGAGTGCAGATCTGGTCGCGCGGAGTGCAGATGTGGTCGTCCGGGGTGCAGATCTGGTCGCACGGAGTGCAGATCTGGGCGGGCGGAGTACAGATCTGGGTGCGGAATGTTCAGATCTGGGCACGGGAGGAGATCTGGTCGCAGGGAGTGCAGATCTGGGCGGGCGGAATCCAGATCTGGGCGCGGAATGATCAGATCTAGGCGCGGGAGGAGTAGATCTGGTCGCAGGGAGTGCAGATCTGGGCGCTGGAGTTGCAGATCTGGACGTGCCTTGGAGGGCAGTGCCTTAGGGGGCGCACGGGGAGGGAGGACAGCGCCTAAAGGGTGCGTGAAGGGAGGGCAGCTCCGTGGGTGGGGCTAGATCTGAGGAACGGGGAGGAGAGGGTGGCCTAAGGACCGAGGGAGGAAGGCGTGAGCCATTAGCTCATGATACCATGTTAGAAGAGAGAGAATTGATACATTACACAATGAGCCAAGCGGCCCTTTAGTACAAACAATGAGCAAGAGAGAGATGAGAGGGAAGCTTACCCTATTGGCCAATAAGTTGGCCAATGGGTGAGCTTGCTTGTGGCCCAAGCAACCACAAATGTGTGTTGGTTGGGATTGGTTGAGCTAAGGACCAATCCCAACCAACCACAAAATGTGGTTGGAGGGTACACTAAGCAACCCCCCAATTTATAAATGTGCTACACTTCTAGCCTACGTATGTTGTATAAAATATGAAATTACTACACTGCACACCCCTTCCTTGTCCACGCCCCTTCCCCTCTTGCCCCTACACGTCGCGAGCATGAACGGTCGTAGACTACTGCACGTTCGTTTTGAGTCGACTGAAGACATAGCTGCGTTGCACACCCCTTCCTTGTCCACGCCCCTCCCCCTCGCGCCCCTACATGCAGTGACATCACGAGCTCGAACAGTCGTAGACAACTGCACGTTTTTGGACAATAAAGCACAAGACCAGGGCGGAGCGCTGCACTTCCTGCCATACGAAACCCTCAATGTCTCTCGCTCGCGCTTCCAAGGAAACTCCGTGCTCAAGCAGAACGGCGGGGCTATTCACGTGCTCGGGGTGAGTTGGGAGTTGGTAGATATGAAGCAAGAGGCAATTCGTGAGTTAAGAGTGCAGTTAAACAGTGTCTACCTCTCCCTCTTGCGAGACGTCTCATAAGCCCTCCCACTCGCGCTTCCAAGGGAGCTCCGTGGTCAACGGGCGGGGCTATTCACGTGCTCGGGGTGAGTTGTTGTGATTGTTGTTAACGTGTGTGAGGTGAGTTGAGGGCTGTACGTAGGAGAGGCCATCAGGCTAATTCACGTGCCATGCTCGGGCTATCAGCACTTCATGCCGTACGAGATCCTCTCCTCTCCGTCTCGCTCCCAAGGAGACTCGGTGGCTTCTTGCATACCTGCATGCTCCCTTGCGGTTGAGATTAGTTGGTTTCGAATCGCAGCAAGCCTACTAAAAGTAGCGATCTATAGTACTCAGCCTACTGTAATAGCGATCTCGGTGGCTTCTTGCACACCTGCACGCTCTCTTGCACACCTGCACGCTCTCTTGCACACCTGCACGCTCTCTTGCACACCTGCACGCTCTCTTGCACACCTGCACGCTCTCTTGCACACCTGCACGCTCTCTTGCACACCTGAGATGCATCAGTGTTCACTTGCACGCATTTGCACTCACTTTCACCCACTCCCTCACCCCTGCAGGGCATGGGGGCGGTGAGAGTGGAGAGCAGCACATTTGTGAGAAGCAGGGCAGAGTGGTCCAAGTGAAGCGCCCTGTACAGTGAGCGAGACTTGAGATGCCTCAAGCTTAACCCTTCACTCCCACCCACCCCCTCATACCTACGGGGCACAGGGGCGGTGACAGTGGAGAGCAGCACATTCGTGAGAAGCAGGGCAGAGCGGTCCAAGTGAAGCGCCCTGTATAGCGAGTCTCAAGATGTCTCAATGTTCATTTCTGCACTCCCACGCATTTGCACTCACTTTCACCCACTCCCTCACCCCTGCAGGACACGGGGGCGGTGCGGGTAGAGAGCAGCACATTCGTGAGCAACAGGGCAGAGTGGTCCAAGGGAGGCACTTTGTACAGCGAATCTCAAGATGTCTCGATGGTCATTTCTGCACTCCCACACATTTGCACTCACTTTCACACACTCGTGCGCACTCGCACTCACCTACAGGGCACGGGGGCGGTGAGGGTGGAGAGCAGCACATTCGTGGGCAACAGGGCGGAGAGGTCCAAGGGAGGCGCCCTGTACAGCGAGCAAGTCTTGCCCAAACGATGCCTCAATGCTCATCCCTTCGCTCCTTCTTACTCCCTCACTCCTGCAGGGCACGGGGGCGGTGCGGGTAGAGAGCAGCACATTCGTGGGCAACAGGGCAGAGCGGTCCAAGGGAGGCGCCCTGTACAGCGAGTCGGTGTCTGTCACCTTCGATAATGTCACTCTGGACGGGAACACGGCGGCACTGCAGGGAGGCGCGGTGGCTGGTGAGTGGATGCACGGTAGTGCTTTATGGCAAGTAGCTCAAGCGTCTGGTCTTATTTTGGATGCCAACATGGCGCCCACGGCGCTGACTTTTGAGTTGACTCAAAATTCACCTCGTCTTATTTTGGATGCCAACATGGCGCCCACGGCGCTGACTTTTGAGTCGACTCAAAATTCACCTCGTCTTATTTTGGATGCCAACATGGCGCCCACGGCGCTGCAGGGAGGAGCGGCGCGGTGGCAGGTGAGTGAATGCACGGCGCCACGTGATGACACTTGAGTGAATGCATACATGCCAAGGATGTATGGTCAGTGAGTGAGCAAGATTGATGATAGACAGGCGACTCGAGAGTCTGATCTCGTTTCAGCCCGTGCCCTTTCCTTCTCCACATTTCACAGACAGCCCCTTTTGAGTCGACTCAAAAGTCTTCTCCACATTGCACAGACAGCCCCTTTTGAGTCGACTCAAAAGTCTTCTCCACATTTCACAGACAGCCCCTTTTCCCACCTTCCGGTTTATGCATCCTGCCGCTTCGTGTGCAACGAGGCGGTGCTTGGGGGAGGTGCTATCTACACATGGTTCGTTCTCTGCCTCTCTCCCTTCCCTTCACCTCCTCCCCCATGCAGTCTAAGCCGCTTCGAGTTCCTGTCTATGCTTCTCTCCCCTCCTCCCCCATGCAGTCTATGCCGCTTCGAGTTCCAGTCTATGCTTCTCTCCCCTCCTCCCCCATGCAGTCTATGCCTCTCTCCCCTCCTCCCCCATGCAGTCTATGCATCCAGCAGCGACAGCCTGCATGCAGAAGCGCTCTTCAAAGCATGCCGCTTCGAGTTTTTTGAGACGTCTCAAAACTTTCCCACACATTCCCCCTCTCCCCTCCTCCCCCGTTCCAGTCTATGCATCCAGCAGTGACGGCTTGCCAACCGAAGCACTCTTCAAGTCATGCCGCTTCGTGCGCAACGAGGCGGTGCTTGGGGGAGGTGCTATCTACACGGGGCTGGGCATGCACACGCGCGTGCACACGTGTGAGGTGGAGGAAAACAACAGCACGGGGCTGGGCGGTGCTGTGCTCGTGCAGGAGTTTTCCCGGGTTGAGATGACTCGCACGCGCTGTCATGGGAACATGTGAGTGGGATGAGGCGATTCGGTTAGCATGTGATGCGAGTCTGATGATCTGATCTGATATACAGAAGCATGGGGTTGGGCATGTGCAATGCAACGAGGCAGTACTTGGGGGAGGTGACAACAGCACGGGGCTGGGCTGGGCGGCGCTGTGCTCGTGCAGGAGTTCTCCCGGGTTGAGATGACTCGCACATGGTGCCAAGGGAACATGTGAGTGAGCTGACATGTCATGTAATGGAGATGACACAGGGGCATGAGATGAGAGTGAGATGACAGGACATGAGAGTCTGAGATGGGATCGTGGCATGTGAGGATGCATGAAACAGAGTGTTTCTTTTCATTCTGAGAGCGCCTCTGTCTTTCCTCTCTCTCATCCCCCCATTTTCCCTCACAGCCCTGACTGGCTGTGCCTGCCTCTCCCTCCTCGCCAACGCCCATGCCACAGTCACCGACTCGGTCCTTCAAGCCAACCACCACTCACCTGTGAAGGGGGGGGGCACCGCTGTCTTTGCCGAACAATCGGCAACTTTATTCTATACTTCTACTGCTCACCCTCCCATCTCCCTCTAGAGCTTTGACAGGTGGCGCCTGCCTCTCCCTCCTCGCCAACGCACACGCCACGGTCACCAACTCAATCCTTTCAGCCAACCAGGGCACCAGCGAGGGGGGAGCAGCGCGTGTCAGCGGCAGCGCGCACCTCTCCCTCCTCTCCTCCTCCATCCTCCAAAACACCGCAGCCTGGGGCGGCGCCGTCTGGGTGGAAATGGGCGCTTCTTTGCTCATCTCAAACAACTCAAAGCTGGAAGGGAACGAGGCGAGGTATTTGGGCGGGACGGTGTATGCGACGCACGTGTCCCGGGTGGAAGTGCAAGGCGGGAGTGTGTTTCGGGGAAACTCGGCCCTGCATGGAGGTGCTATGGTTGTAGAGGCAGAGGCGAGAGTCACAGCAGCCGATTCTACGTTTGAAAACAACACCTTTTCAGGGATTTTATTCCAAGGGTTTTCCCAGGGGGTTCTGCGGAACTGTAGCTTCATGCGGAATTCCAACGCGGCTGGGCGGGGTGGCGCGGTGCTGGTTGGAGACAAGACGACCGTCGCCGTCCACTCTTGCAGCTTTTCCGGGAACTGGGCGGCGCTGGGCGGCGCGGTGAGCACCGAAGGCAGCCCGTACCTCACAATCAACGGCTCAGATTTCACGAGGAACATCGCGCAGATCGGCGCAGGGGTTGCCCTAGCAGGCGCCACCGCTTTCACCATGGGAGAGTCTGTGTTTACTAAGAATAATGCGACTAAGGCGGGAGGGGGAGTGGCTGTACTGGAGCAGGTGGAGGGGGAGATCTCAGGGTCGAGATTTGAGGGGAACTATGCGGTGGTGGGCGGTGCAGGGGTGTACTTGATGCGATCTGCTGCTGCTACTGCTGCAGCAGCAGGTGGTAATAGGCCTCCTAGGGTTGGTGCTTCTGCATCTGCTCCTGGTCGAGCTAAGAGTGCCAGAGGGCGGATCGCGCTGGCCAGTAGTAGCAGAGACAGCAGCACCGGCGGCAGCAGCAGTAGCAGCAGCAGAGGCAGTGGTGTAGGGGCAGCAACATCTGCTGCTGCTTTTACCCCAAATGGCACCTCCACCAGTAGCACCTCCTCCTCTTCCTCGTTCTCCACCAATCAGGTGCGACTGCAAGGCCTGCTGTTTGACGGCAACAGTGCCATGGACGCCCATGGAGTGGCCTTCTTCGATGCTTCCTACAGCCCCCACCTGCGCTCCGCCTGCCAGGCCTGCCAGATGGTGCAGCAGGGGGACACGGAAGGCAGCATGCCGGCGGACTTTTATCTCAAGTGAGTGCGCTTGTGAAGAGTACATTTTGAGGCACCTCATAGAATCTTTCCCTACAGTCCGCTGCTGCAGGCTGCCTGCCATGCCAGGCCTGTCAGATGCTGCATCTGGCCTGGAGGACTCAGGGCAGCATGCCAGCTGACTTCTACCTTATTTCAGTGCGCTTCTAAAGAAAACAGTAAAGAATACACACTTTTTGAGGCACCTTCAAAACAGCTTCCTAAAGCCCCCCCCATCTGCACTCCGCCTGCCAGGCCAGCCTGTAACCCTCCTACCTCCTCCCCCCTCCCATTTCACCTTTTGATACGTGCAATGCTTCTCGCCGTGCCGCCCTCTCAACCCTCTTCCAGATGGCCTGGGGCGGCAATGTCGTCGCAGGAGACAGGTGGCAGCTTCTCAGTGGTGGGCTCGGTGGGCTCCATGCTGACGGGGCTGCAGGTGGTGGTGGTGGACGAGTTTGGGAACATCGTGTCCAAGGTGAGGAAGGAAAGGCCTACACTTAGATTTGATTTATTGGTGTGAGCAGCATACAGGGATGTTGCCACATATATACAGTATGTGTAATGAATATGTAACATACGAGACAATACATATTATATACTACATACTATTTATTATGTTATATATAGTATATGATGTATATATATATATATGCATAGAGATGTCAAAGCAGGTGGTGTTGTTGCAGGCGGTGGGTGGTGGACGGGTTCCGAAGCATCCCTGCCAAGGTAAGGTAAGTAATGGGCACAATTTCACTCAAATCATTAAATGTACGGGATGGTCGCATCAGCGGGGTGCTAGGGGGCATTCTCAACACTCACCGCAACCAACCCCTCTCCTGAGTCCGCTCCTTCTACTCCCTTCGCTCCCCCTCCTCCACCCACCACCACCACGGCGACTCCGCTTTCGCCTGTGTTTTTACTGACAGCCGCATCAGTGGGTCCCTATGGGACACATCCCATTGGGACGATCCTAGAGGCATCATCACTCCCTCTCCCTCTCCCCTCCTCCTGCCCCCACCATCCCACACCATGCCACCAGGACAACTCCGCCCTGGCCCGTGTCTCCCCGGACAGTTTCATCAGCGAGCGGGTCGCTACGCGGCAGCATTCCAGGGCGGCGTTATCACAGTGGTTCACCGTACCCTCTCCAAACCCCCTCCTCCCTCCCTCGCTCTCCTACTGCCCCCACCCCACCAGGACAACTCCGCTTTGGCCCGAGTCTCCCCTGACAGCCGCATCAGTGGTTCCCTACGGGGCACCTCTCAGGGCGGCATCATCACAGTGCCGCCCATTGCCGTCCGCGTGCCCCCGGGCGGCGCGCTACAGCCGATAGCTCTCACCGTCACAGTCTCCTCCACCACCAACGCCTTCCCGGACTTCTCCCACCCCTTCAACATTTCCTTCTGCCCGGCCGGGCAGTATTTTGACGGCGAAAGCTTCAGCTGCCAGGACTGCCCCGTGGGCCACTGGTGGGTTTTGCCTTCGGCCTTTTCCCTGCAACACTAGAGTCGGTGTAGAGTGCGTGTGTGTGGGGGGTGGGGAGGGGAGGGGGGGGGGGGGGGGCGGTGGGGGAGAGAAAAGGGGGAGGGGTGGTGTGTGCGTGTGTGTCTGCTGCTCTTGGGATGTGTGTTGGGGCTCCAAAAGAAGAGTTTGTGTGGTTCATGTGCTTGAGTGTTCTCCTCCAGCTCTTGATTCTCCATCAACTCAAGTCCCCCGTTGCCTCCTCGATTCCCCTCTTCTCCCTCCCTCTCACCTCAGGTGCGCACCAGGGCAGGGCATGGAGACGTGTCCAGACGGCACCTTCACCTTCTTCCCAAATGCCGCTTCAATGCAATGAGTTCCCTCTTTCCGTGGCCCATACTCCCCGCCCTCCCATTTCAACCCCTGCCTCACCACCACAGCTGTGCTGTGCGCCAGGCTAGGGCATGGAGACGTGTCCAGACGGCACCTTCACCTTCTTCCCAAATGCCGCTTCAATGCAATGAGTTCCCTCTTTCCGTGGCCCATACTCCCCGCCCTCCCATTTCAACCCCTGCCTCACCACCACAGCTGTGCTGTGCGCCAGGCTAGGGCATGGAGACGTGTCCAGACGGCACCTTCACCTTCTTCCCAAATGCCGCTTCAATGCAATGAGTTCCCTCTTTCCGTGGCCCATACTCCCCGCCCTCCCATTTCAACCCCTGCCTCACCACCACAGCTGTGCTGTGCGCCAGGCCAGGGCATGGAGACGTGTCCAGACAGCACCTTCACCTTCTTCCCCAACGCTGCTTCTCAAAAGCACCACCACCTGATCGGTTCCCCCCCGCTCACTCTAAGTCCCTCTTCCCGTCCCCCTTCCTGCCCCCCTCGCATTACCCCATCCCTTTCCCCTCCCTCTCCCCTCAGGTGTGCGCCAGGCCAGGGCATGGAGACGTGTCCAGACCGTGCCTTCGCCTTCTTCCCCAATGCCCCTTCAATGCAATCAGGTCTCTATTTTTGTGGCTCGCCCCCCTTCCCTTACTCCCCCCCTTCCCTCACCTCCCCTCAGGTGTGCACCAGGCCAGGGCATGGAAACGTGTCCAGACGGCACCTTCACTTTCTTCCCCAACGCAGTGTCACAGGAGCAGTGCACGGCGTGTGACGACGACAGCTTGGACTGCCGCTATGGCACGCTGGAGGTGGGTGGGTTGCAGTGGGTGAGAGTGTGTGCTGTGTGAGGTGAGATATGCAACGGCATACAGGAGCAGTGCACGGCGTGTGACGATGGCAGCTTGGACCTGGACTGCCGCTCCGGCACGCTGCAGGTGTGTGCGAGTGAGTCAGTGGCGTATTGTGTGGTTGAGAGGCCTTCTATGACAAGAAGCAGGAGCAGTGCAGTGCACGGCATGTGACGATGACAGCCGTAACTGCCGCTACGGCACCCGCTGCAGGTGAAGACTATTTCTGAGTCGACTCAAAAATAGACTCACTACGCGTGTGACGGTGACAGCCTTAACTGCCGCTATGGCACGCTGCAGGTGAAGACGGCCGGGGAAGAGATGTACCCTCCAACCCAACTGCCTGGCCTATTGAAATCACTTTTGGCGTCACCGTCAAAAGTGATTTCAATATTTCAGGTGAAGACGGCTGTGGACGAGATGTACCCTCTAACTGCCTGCCCTCGTTAACCTCCTACCTCCCACGCCCTTCCATCATCTCCCCCGCTCCCCTCCCTTCAGATCTCATACCAGAACTGGCTGGACCCAGCGTCTCTCAACCGCACGCCCGCCACCTATGCATGTCTCCTCACTGTCCGAGGGATGCTCTGGCACCACCTATACATGTCGCTGGTGTAACCTCCAACTGTCTGCTCTCATTAACCTCCTACCTTTCACGCCCTTCCATCATCCCCCCCGCTCCCCTCCCTTCAGATCTCATACCAGAACTGGCTGGACCCAGCGTCTCTCAACTCCACGCCCACCACCTATGCGTGCCTGCTCACTGAGGGATGCTCTGGCACCACCTACACGGGCCCCAACACCACGCAGTGTGCCGTGGGATACAACAACACCGTGCCGTGAGTGTGTTCAGTGGGGTATTGGGGTTTTGGGGTAGTGGTTGCAATCAAGGCCCTGGCACCACCTATACAGGCCCCAACACCACGCAGTGTGCCGTGGGATATAACAACATCGTGCCGTGAGTGTGTGGGCAGATGGGCAGTTAGTAATTGACATGAAGGAGGGCCTGCTTTGGCACCACCTACGGCCCCAACACCACGCAGTGTGCCGTGGGATATAACAACATCGTGCCGTGAGTGTGTGGGCAGATGGGCAGTTAGTAATTGACATGAAGGAGGGCCTGCTTTGGCACCACCTACGGCCCCAACACCACGCAGTGTGCCGTGGGATATAACAACATCGTGCCGTGAGTGTGTGGGCAGATGGGCAGTTAGTAATTGACATGAAGGAGGGCCTGCTTTGGCACCACCTACGGCCCCAACACCACGCAGTGTGCCGTGGGATATAACAACATCGTGCCGTGAGTGTGTGGGCAGATGGGCAGTTAGCAATCGACATGAAGGGTAGGCTGCTCTGGCACCACCTACGGCCCCAACACCACGCAGTGTGCCGTGGGATATAACAACATCGTGCCGTGAGTGTGTGGGCAGATGGGCAGTTAGTAATTGACATGAAGGAGGGCCTGCTTTGGCACCACCTACGGCCCCAACACCACGCAGTGTGCCGTGGGATATAACAACATCGTGCCGTGAGTGTGTGGGCAGATGGGCAGTTAGTAATTGACATGAAGGAGGGCCTGCTTTGGCACCACCTACGGCCCCAACACCACGCAGTGTGCCGTGGGATATAACAACATCGTGCCGTGAGTGTGTGGGCAGATGGGCAGTTAGCAATTGACATGAAGGGTAGGCTGCTCTGGCACCACCTACGGCCCCAACACCACGCAGTGTGCCGTGGGATATAACAACATCGTGCCGTGAGTGTGTGGGCAGATGGGCAGTTAGTAATTGACATGAAGGAGGGCCTGCTTTGGCACCACCTACGGCCCCAACACCACGCAGTGTGCCGTGGGATATAACAACATCGTGCCGTGAGTGTGTGGGCAGATGGGCAGTTAGTAATTGACATGGAGGGCCTGCTTTGGCACCACCTACGGCCACAACACCACGCAGTGTGCCGTGGGATTTAAGAACATCATGCGGTGAGTGTGTGGTGTTGTTAGGCTGTGCTGAAACCGTGCCTACATGGTCCTACCAACACACACGGCACCAACACCACACAGTGTGCCGTGAGTGTGTGGGCAGTGGGGGGGGAATTATTGCAATGACGGATCAGCTGTTGTGGTGCCACGTATACATGGCCCAACACGATGCAGTGTGCCGTGGGATATAACAACTCCATGCCGTGAGTGTGTGGGCAGATGCGTTGTAATGATTGCTGCAATGAAAGGAAATCTGCTCTGGCACCATCTATATACATGTCTTCTCGCCGAGGGATGCCCTGGCACCACCTATACAGGCCCCAACACCACGCAGTGTGCCGTGGGATATAACGACACCATGCCGTGAGTGTGTGGGTAGTTGGGCAATTAGCAATTGACATGAAGGGTAGGCTGCTCTGGCACCACCTACGGCCCCAACACCACGCAGTGTGCTGTGGGATGCAGCAACACTATGCCGTGAGTGTGTGGGTACTGGAGGTGGTACGAAGGTACATACATGAATATACTGAAGGCACCACCTACACAGGCCCCAAGTGTTAGAATTGAACCGATAGCTTGATTAGGAATGCTGCGGGTTTACATAGTTGGATCTAGGGAAGGGGGGGTTGGTTGGGTACCTAGTCAACATTATTGGCCCCCCACCAATAAGTTGGGTTGGAGAATTATTGGGGGGTCCCAGTAATGTTGGTCAAGGTGAGTCAACATTATTGGGGGGGGCAATAATCTCCTAACCCAACCTTGGGGGCCAATAATTGGACCAAGGTTGGGTTCCAACCCCCAACTAGGGTTAACCCTAGTTGTGCACCCAAACATAGTTTGGGTGCCTATCTCTATCCTAGGGTTTATAGGATCAATGCAGGATACAGAAGAGTAGTATAATCTAACACCAACACCACCGATTGTGCGGTGGGATGCAGCAACACTGTGCCGTGAGTGCATGGGGTAGGGGAGGGGTTTGCTTGACCATAGTTTTTGGAGGAGTGACAAGGTGGTGATTGCAGTCAAGGTAAGCTGGCCCCGACACCACGCAGTGTATGATGTATGATGCATGATGCATGATGCAACAACTTTGTGTCACTGAGTGCATGCTGAGTGTGTGTCAGTGAGTGCACGCTGAGTGTGTATCATTGTTAAGTAGTGCTGCTGCAGCCGCGCCTACCAGGCCAGGCCCCTACCCTACCCACATGCCAGCACCTACGCAGGCCCCAACTCCACGCAGTGTGCTGTGAATTGCAAACAACAGCACACTGTGAGTGCATAGTGCTAAGGGGGTGGGTGTGCGAGATTGTGAAGTAGTGCTGCAAATTCTAAAGAGATATTGATATCCTTGACCCACAATTCCACTCCCCTCCCGGCATACCCCTCATAGCAAAACCTGCTGCAAGTGCACACCCACTTGATCTCGCTCATCCCCCTCTGCTCCTCACCCGCTGCTCCTCACCCGCTGCTCCTCACCCGCTGCTCCTCACCCGCTGCTCCTCACCCGCTGCTCCTCACCCGCTGCTCCTCACCCGCTGCTCCTCACCCGCTGCTCCTCACCCGCTGCTCCTCACCCGCTGCTCCTCACCCGCTGCTCCTCACCCACTGCTCTTCACCCGCTGCTCCTCACCTGCTGCTCCTCACCTGCTGCTCCTCGCCCGCTGCTACTCACCCGCTGCTCCTCACCCGCTGCTCCCCACCTGCTGCTCCTCACACGTGGACAACGCATACCTGCTGCTGCAGTTGTGCATTTCGACTAGCACAGCACGTGCTTGCTGCCTCACGTGCTTGCTGCCTCCTGCCCCCCGCTTCTCCCCACTTCTCTCTGCGCTACCTCTTTTTCTTATGTGCGTGTGCTGTGCTGTGCTGTGCTGAGCTGTGCGTGTGCTGTGCCGTGCTGTGCTGTGCTGTGCGTGTGCTGTGCTGTGCTGTGCTGTGCTGTGCTGTGCTGTGCTGTGCTGTGCTGTGCTGTGTGGTGCCTTGCTGCGCTCTGTGCTGCGTGCATGCAGCATGTGCTCCTCATGTGCAGACGGCTACTACCTCATGCTGCAGTTGCAGTAGGAAAGGCACCTACTGAGTCAACCCTGGCCTCCCTCTCTTGTTTGCCGTGCTGTCTGCTGTGCTGCGTGCATGCAGCATGTGCTCCTCATGTGCGGATGGCTACTACCTCGTGCTGCAGTACTGCGAGCAATGCACGGCTGCACTCAAATCAGTGAGTCTCAACTCGGCAACTCAACACACCATGCAACGCAAACGTGAAATGATCACTCACGAACACGCACCAATTTTTCGGGTCTTGCAGCTTACGCCATTTGTCAACAGCAAAACGACCTCTGAAACTCCTCTCCCTGACCTGTGAAGTTTGAAGAGAAAGGAAAAGTTGGTTTAGGAAGTCCAGAGGTATATATGTAGCAGTGGGAGTAGTAACGAAGTTCTTGACGTTGCAGCGTTTTTTTTTTTTTTTTTTTTTTTTTTTTCCTAAAAAAATCCCTGCAATGTCAAAGAATAGTGGGATTAGAGAGTCGAGAGGTAAATATAGAAGAGGAAAAAAGGAAGGGAGAAACGGAAGGGGTGGTGGTTGGGTTCTTGAGTGAATTTTGAGAATTCTCAAAAGAAACGGAAGAGGTGGTGGTAGTTGGGTTCTTGGCCTGGAATTTTGGCCCTCACCAATGAGATGGGTTGAAGAATTAATGGAGGGCCTCAATAATCTTGGTTAAAATTCAGCCAAGATTTTTGGGGTTTCAATAATCTCCCACCTAACCTTCTAGGCTAGATAATATGGCCATGGTTCAGTTCCCAACCCCCAGCTTGGGTAAACCCTAGTTGTGCACCCAAATAAAGTATGGGTGGCTATCTCTTCCCAAGCTAATTTAGGATACATGCAGCATACAAGAGGAGTAGTAACCTGATACGACCCACCCTCCCCACCAGGTTTTTCCGTGACTATTTATCATAGTGCTAGTGGTGTGGGTGGCAATGAACATGCTGGCAGACACCTTTGCAGCCATGGACATCTTTCCCAGCGAGGTGCAGCTGCTCCTTCTCTCAACTCCTCTCCCCTTCTGCCCTCTCATCCCCCTTGCACCCTCATCCCCCTTGCACCCTCATCCCCCTTGCACCCTCATCCCCCTTTGCAGCCACGGACATCTCTCTCCTTGCACCAGCTGTTTCTCAACCCTCCCACCCTTCTCCCTCTCCCTCCCAACCCCAGGTGTTCCCCCTACTGTTCATCATAATTCTCATCGTGTGGGAGGCAATGAACATGCAGGTAGACACCTTTGCAGCCATGGACATCTTTCCCACCGAGGTGCAGCTGCTCCTTCTCTCAACCCCTCTCCCCTTCTGCCCTCCCATTTCCCTCTCTCTCCCACCTCCCTCTCCCTCTTCCCCCACTCTCCTCTCCCTCTTCCCCCCCAGGTGTTCCCCCTTCTGTTCATCATAATTCTCATCGTGTGGGTGACGATGAACATGCTGGCAGACACCTTTGCAGCCATGGACATTTTCCTTATTGAGGTGCAGCTGCTCGCCATGGTCGCCAACTTCAACCTCAACTTCCCCGCCTCCTGGGTCAAGACCGTCGTGCTGCTATACAACATCGCTGCGTTTGATCCCGTGAGTTTTCCTGCCGTTGTCACTGTGAGTGGCTCTCAAAGATGGGTCAAGACTGTCGTGAGAAGCGCTGACTTTTTTGGTGGACTTCAACATCTTGAGTCAAGATTCGAGTCATGCTTGCTACTCTACAACTTTTGGCGTGCAATCTTTGATGAGGATTTTAAAGATTTCAGCATTTCGTGGACTCAAAAGTCGGTCATGAATGATGGCTGACGACGCCGCGATGGTCGTGACTTTTGAGTCGACTCAAAAGTCAACTCGGTGATGATGGTTGACAGTCATGCTGCTTTACAAGCTCAACTCAAAGAGCGGGGCAAGACCGCCGTGCTACATGTCAGTGTCTCTGCTTTCATCACAATGAGCGACCCTTGTTGTAGTCTAGTCGCAATATGTTTGGATGTGCCTAATACGAAGGCTAGAGTGCACGTACAGATGCAGCAACAAATCGTGTGTTTTGAACCCGCAAGCCAAGAAGTTCAACAGTAGGAAGGTTGGTCGGGGCGTGCAATACAATTGGTCAAGATTTTGGATGCCAGGGTCACACTCAACCGAAGCTAGGAAGGTTGAACCAATTTGGGCTTTCTTGGCCCGCGGGTTTTAATTGCACACAGTGTTTCATTATGGCCTTCAATTGGCAAGTTGAATTTCAATTGGCCGCGCTGTTGGAATCAAGGGATGAAGGTATGGTACAGAGTTCTGAAATTAATTTGAAATTGAAATGTCTTCCAGCCTCTACAAACCCCCAAATACGAGGTTCAGGATTGTGAAAAGATTGCATGTTCTTTTCAACTACATATTATCTACCGTTTTCGCCATCTTGATTATTGCCGTCATGGTATGCTCCAAGTATAGTTTATTCTTTCTTAGAATTCTAATTTAAGTCTCCATAACGAAGTTTAGGGCTTGCATTACTCCCCTCTTGCCTGCTGAACGTTCGACAAACCAAAAAAGAAAGCGCACATAGCGCTCACACGGTGTGTCAACATGCGACTAGAAAAAGGGGTCTCGACACGCACATGCAACACTATGGTTCGCCACACAATCTGCGTGAAATGAGCCGTGTTCTGAGTTGACAAAATGAGAAGGCTCTCGACAGGCACACACAACACTATGCTTCGCCACACAAACACTGATAACAAAACTTTTTGAGCTCGCATATAATAACATTCCATACAAATCTATGCACGTACACAAGGACAAGAATACGAGTTCACAACATGCGGTTGCACCAACAAGCGTGACAGAAAAAAATGTCGTTCCAAACTTGTTAGTAGAAATAAAAGCCCGCAAGTGGGTGGCCATTAGGATGTTCGAAGGTATACAGTACTTCGAGGAAATTAGAGTTTTTACTTGGTTGATGGAATCAAGTGGGGTCAAAACCCTACTAATAATCAGGTGCATTGCTGCCTTGCTCCAACATGATACGAGTCTGCACCGTACTGTGTTACATGCACGCACCTCCTTCCGTGAATCCTTTTCCCTCCCTGCCTTTTACCCCCTGGCACTTCCTGCCGTGATTGGAGCATCAACAGTCACAAATCACCTGACCTCCCCACTTCTTATCTCTTCATTTCTCTCCCCCCTCCCCTTCTTTCTCCTGCAACCTCATCCCTCCCCGCCTCCTCTCATCTTCCCCTTAGCAGGACATCATCGGGCCAGAATGCATGTCCACTTCTCCTTGCAGTTCACGGGTCGAGTTCTTTCCAGCTCTCCTCTCCGCATTACATCTCTCCTCACAACTTTTTCCTTCCTCCCCTCCCCCCCCCCCCCCCCTCTCCCCCCCCCTCCCGACAGGACATCATCGGGCCAGAGTGCGTGTTCTCCCTGCAGTTCACGGGCAAATTCTACGCCACCCTTCTCATCCCCGTTATAGGCCTCCTCATTTACGCGCTCGTGTTTGCGCACCACCGCTGGCTGGGCGGCTCATTCTTCGTGCGCGTGCACTCGTGGCAGCGCAAGGAGCGCCAGCGGCAGCGCCTGGCGCTGCAGCGCTCTGTAACGAAGCGGCGGGCTTATAACGAGTATGAGAACTCGATCGTGCACGCGTCGCTCAAGTGGCTCGACATTTGCTACACGTCTGTGATGGTCAAAGTGCTGGAAGTCTTCAAGGTGAGGAGGGCTTTGAGGTGATAAGGGTGACCATGTGATGGTGTTGCATCGTTTTTTGAGGTGCCTAAAAAAGCTCAAGTAGCTGGACATTTGCTACACGTCTGTGATGGTCAAAGTGCTGGAAGTCTTCAAGGTGAGGAGGGCTTTGAGGTGATAAGGGTGACCATGTGATGGTGTTGCATCGTTTTTTGAGGTGCCTAAAAAAGCTCAAGTAGCTGGACATTTGCTACACGTCTGTGATGGTCAAAGTGCTTGAAGTCTTCAAGGGGAGGGGGGCTTTAAGGCGAGGCAAGGGTGACGGGTTCGACATGCGCATGTGATGGTGTTACGTCTTCTTTTTTAACGCCTAAGGAAACTCCTGTGGTTGGACATTTGCTACACGTCTGTGATGGTCAAAGTGCTTGAAGTCTTCACAATGAGGAGGGCCTTAAGGTAAGGCAAGGGCGAGAGGGCTTGCCTTGAGCATGTGATGGTGTTACACCTGTTTACCTGGTCACGCTGGTAACCGCCGTGCTGCTCTCAGAAATCAAAGCCTCCCTCACTCACCCATCCCCGTTGCCCTTTCTTCCCCTTTCCTCATGCAGTCCCAGCAGATAGGCATAGCAACAGTGATGGCAGCTGCACTGTTGATTCTCACCACATACTCCCTCCCCCCACCACCACCCCTCGCATCCCTCTTCCCCTTCCCCCGTGCAGTCCCAGGACATCGGCACAGCTACAGTGATGGCAGCAGCACCGCAGATTGAGTGGCTGTCATCAGCCCACGTGGGTATGCTGGTTACCGCAGTGCTGGTTACGGTGGTGTACCTGGTGGGGCTGCCTCTGCTGTTCGCTGGGGTGTTGGTGGATGCTCATACGTGCGATGTGCTCTCCTCTACGCTCTTCAAGCAGCGCTTTGGCTGGCTCACCGAGCGCTTCCGACCCAAATTCTGGTGGTGAGTGGTGCAGTGATTATGAGGAATGGTGCTTATGCGGTAGGCCACTATTGCGAGTAGTGCTGGTTGGTGTGCGAATGTGCGAGTAGTGGGTCGGGCTTATTCCCATACCCCCGGAACTGGGTGCTGCATTGGGCTTGTTCCACAAGCCCTATTCTCCATCATCGGATCTCCCATTCCCTTGCTCTCCCTCCACGGCTGCAACTCACAGGTGGCACCTGACAAACATAGGCATGAGGGTGCTGCACGGATGTATCCTCGTGTTCCTGCAACAAGAAACCGAGTCACAAGTAAGTGAATGGAAAAAGACCCTTAGCGCATGATAGCACTCCCATAGCCTCCCCCATTGCTTGGAATCATGCTGCTTTCTTCTATCCCATGCTGCATGGGTGCATCCTCGTGTTCCTGCAGCAAGAAACTTGATCACAGGTAATTGCTTCGATGCATACGCACCCGTACCTTATAATCACCCATTGTTTCAGGTTCCTTTCCCAAGGCAGATTGATGATGCTAAGAAAAATGGGGGTCAAAATAACTCAAAATCGTTGGACTAAGTTACTGAACAGGAATGTCGACTTCACAAGAAATGTCGTCTACAAAAAGTTGACCGTTAGAACTTCACCAATTTCAGATATATTGTAGCTCTAGACCGTGGCTACAATTCTCAGTTTGAATCGCAAAAAAAACTGAAGTAAATTTTGACTTATTAATATCGACGCATTGAAGGGTATGCTAAAACTGAAACTTAACTCAAACTCAATTGTTCAACCCAGTGGCACACAATGAATTAGAGTAGTAGGAACCAGGTAGGAGAGGATGAGAGGGAAGGTCCCAAGGGAGTCCCCAACCAAGGAAACCCCATAAGGGGGTCCCAAGGGAGATTCATTCCCTATAAGAACCCAACTTTCACCCTTGTTTTTTGCCCAGCATCTCAAATCCACCTCATCCAACTTTGCCACACTTGCCAACCTAGTTTGGTTTCTTCCAACCACTACAGTCGAGTGACGAAAATTCTCAGCCCCCCAAAAGTCTATTCCACATATAGAGTCACTCCACACCAATTCCCAAAGTTGTCGCATCGAAATATCAAAAGTATACGAACTTCAACCGTTCGTAACTTTCTCATCCATTCTCCGATCGCGGCGATTATTGGCTCGTCGGAAAGCTCTTGAGCAGAGAAATCATTTCCAATATCTGCTAAAAAAGAAAAAAAAAAATCACATACATTCACAACTTCCAAACCATGCAAAACATAATTCTTGCACAAGCTCACACCACACATGCAACGCACGAACATACGACGGGAGGCAGACAGACGTAAATGCCTATGGTAGCATCACACAACACATTCTCCCTCCCCTTCTTTACCCCCTCCTCCTCCTCCATAGGTCATAATAATTTTGTTAGTTCAGGCCCTCCGCATAGACACGCATTACAAGACCGCCCTGCTCGCCTCGCTCTCCCTCGAGTATCTCCAAGCCTTACTCACGCTCGGCCAGTTTTTCTTCACCCTCTCCCTCCTCTCATACAACTACCTCTCCCTCTCTCTCTTCCCCTCAACTCATGTCTTAAGGCCCCTCCAAACACGTTCTTTCTCCTTCCTCTCCACTCCCCCTCTTTTCTTCCCCTTCTCCCCTCCTTCCTCCCCCACTCCCCCTGCCTCTCCCACAGGTGATCATAATCTTGTTAGTTCAGGCCCTCCGCATAGCCACGCACTACAAGACCGCCCCGCTCGCCTCGCTCTCCCTCGAGTACCTGCAGGCCTTCCTCACGCTCGGCCAGTTCTTCTTCACGCTCTCCCTCCTCTCCTACAACTACCTCTCCCTCTCCCTCTTCTCCCAAATCCTCTTCGGCTTTTCTGCCGCCTTCATCCTTATCCCCGCTACAACGCTCCTCGTTTACGACGCGATAAACAACCATTTGGAGCTCGCGAACGCGCGCATGCTACAGCGCGTGTGGCGCGCGGAACGCAAGCGACAAAAAGCCCGATTCGATAAAATGGACCCATATGATTTAGTCCCAGCGCAGGAGATCTGCTCCTGGTTCCGACCACACATCATCTTCGCGACCCTCCTTTCCAAACGCACCGAGGAACGCACGTTGCTGCTCCGAGTTCGGGACCGGTTCGAGACGTGCCGATTGGTCGGTTTGGCGCCCATGGATTGGCTGAATCATTTGAAGAAGCCGCAGCTTTATGCGGTGCTGGCGCAGGCGCTGCTGGGAGCGAGCACGGGGCATGTGACTGTAGCGAGGGTGCCTAAAGACGGGTGGTTCTGTAGGGAGCATGGTGTGTGGCATGCGGCTGGGGAGGATTGTGAGGGAAGGGAGGGGTTTGGAGGTGTTTCGGGTGGTGGAGGGGGTGGTTCGGGGGGTGGTGAGGGGTTGGGAGGTGTGGAGAGGGAGGGGGGAGAGGGAAGTGTTGGGAGGGGTGGGTTGGGTCCTCAGGCGGGAGAAGGGGTGGAGAACGGTGGCAGTGGGGTTGAGAGAGGTGGGGAGGAGAGGAGAAACGGTCAGCTCTCCGGGTTAAGCGGGCAACAGAGAGAAGATTCTTCAGGTGAAACTCAGGTGAATGGTCAGGTGGACACGCAGCAGCCGCTGCTGCAGCAGACAGGAAGGAACACGTGGCATGAGCTGGATGAGGCTGACGTGTGGCCACCTCAGCTGGAGAGCCACGTCAGCTGGGCATCTGCCAGCGTGGCTGCTGCTCCGTCAGCAGGAAGGGGGGGAAGAGGGAGAGGCCTGGGCGGAGCAGGACGGGAGGGAATGGGAGGAATGGGAGGGGGAGTGGGCGGGGGAGGGGTGTGGGGAGTGAGAGGAGGAGGGGGAGACGGATTAGGAGACTTTGACACGGCGAGTGTTGGGAGTGACAGCAGCATTGAGAGTGGCAGCACGCACGGCAGCGGCGGAGGGGTGACCCTCAGAAGCATGGGTGGGGGAGGAGGGGCCTTGGGAAGTGGCGTTGGGGGTGCTGATGCCTTTGCTGCTGCTGCTAGTAGGGCAGGACTGGGGCTCCGTGTTGGGCTAGTAGCAGCAGCAGGAGCAGGGGGGTTAGGCGGAGCAGGGGGGTTAGGAGGAGGTGGAGTAGCAGCAGGAGGGCCGGTGATGCGAAGGACACCGTCGATTCGAGTGCAGAACCTGGTGTCGTGGGAAGAGACCCCCCATGAAGGCCTGCCGGAGCACGGGGCTGGGGGTGCTGCAGGGATGGGAGATGGAGCAGCGGCAGCGGGTGGGGCAGGGGAAGAGGCGGTGGAAGGAGCTGGGGCAGCAGCAGCTGTGGGGGGAGGGGCAGGGACGGAGGCAGGAGCAGGTGGAGGAGGAGAGAACGGAGGAGGAGGCGGAGGGGGAGGGGGTGGGGTGAACCCAGAGGCTGCTGGAAGGAGGCAGCGGATGGGAGGGTGGTGGGGAAGGGGAGCGCGAGTGAGTGAGAGGGGAGGAGGTACGGGTGCTGGTGCAGGTGCGGGGGAGGCAGGAACTGGAATGGGGGAAGCCGGGCAGCAGCAGCAGCAGCAGCAGCAGCAGCCCCCACAACAGCAGCAATACCAGCAGCAGCCGGAGCAGAGGGAGCGAGCGGGTGGCGGTGGGGAGGAGTGTGTGGAAGCGAGGATGAACATGGGCGCGCTGAGCCTGGCGTTTCAGAAGCACCTGGCGCTGCTGGTGCGCGCTGAGAGGACCCGCAGCAGCGAGGCCCTGCGCCTGCTCGTGTGCTCCGAGGCCGTGCCCTCCATCCTTAGCTGGCTCACCAGCGCTGAGAGGTGAGGTGTGCATTCCAAGCCTCTTTTGAGTCCATTCAGAATCTGTTGCTGATTCGACTCAAAAACAGACTCACAAACAGGCCGTTCCCTCCATCCTCAGCTGGCTCACGGGCGCTGAGAGGTGAGGGTGAGCCAGCTGAGGCTCACCTGGCTCAGTGTTCGGAAATCCATTGCTGAGTGAGAGCATGGCTTGCTGTGGCTCCCTCGTGATAATAGAGGGTTTTTGAGACGTCCCAAAAACTCTGTGTTATCACATGTGGCCAGCTGAGGCTCACCAGGCTTGGCATTCGAAACACCAGTGCTGAGAGAGCATGGCTCGCTGTGGCTCCCTCCGTCTCCCTAACCCATCCCATCCCCCGTCCCCTCCATCTCCCTACCCCTCTCATATGCCTGCCCCCTTCCCTCCCTCTCCTGCAGCACACGGGAGGATCAGATGCTGCTGAGGCAGCTGCTGATGGCAGTGCGGGTGGCGGCAAGTGAGGAGGCGGGGGGGCTGGACTGGTGGAGTGGCGTCAAGTGCTTCTACTCCAAACGAGTCACCTTCAAACGGGACAAAGCAGCCCCTGTGGCTTCGGCTCCCACTCCCACCCCCGCACCTACGTATGTTCTCTTTGCTGGTTGCATGCACGCACCACACCACATATGCACGCACCACACTGCACATGCACGCACCACACCACACATGCATGCACCACACATGCATGCTACACACACACACAATTCAAAAACGGATGACTCAAACACGAACGGGTCACGTATGGGTGCATAGTGCTCACTCTGCGCTTATCGCATAACATGAGCCTCACACAATCTGTATGCATGTCTCTGTGCCATACCCCATGCTCACGTGCACGCATAAATCCCATGCTTACTGCCATCGCTCTTTTGACAAGTCAGGAGCGTGTGTCGTCTCATCACCTCCGTTTTTTCTCCTCCTGCCTTCCCCACCATCTCCCTCCAGCACCATTGAACTCGCTCCGGTTACCACCTAGCACCAAATCCTTCAGGCGCCTCTCAAGGCGAAGTGCTCGCCCCAGTTACTGGTTGAATACAGCTGTGCTGAGAAGGGTTGTTGCTAAATGCCCTCAGGGAGGGCTGCTGCTAGTGCTCAGTTGTGCAGATAGCCATGTGGTTGCCCTGGAATACTGTTTTGTGTTGTGGTGCGATTGCTCTTGCGCGATCCTCTGTGTGCAGTTACTGAGATCCCACCCCACCAGCTCTTGTGGGGTGTTTGAGGAACAAATCAGAACAAGCACTAGGAGGATGCTTGTCCACAACACAAATACAAGGGAGGACGTTACACCTTTTCTCAGCTGTGGTTTATATTGTCATCCAAAAAACGATTTCTTGCTGTTTTCTTCCAATCTCTTCTCCCTCTGTCACAGCACAGAGAGAAAACGGGGGAGGAAAAAGGGGGGGAGACGGGGAGGTGGGGAAAGGGGGAGTGGGATAAGGGAATAAAAGCATGACAGAATGAGGACTAGCTCAACAGTAGAAGCCCCATGCCCATCCCTCATGCACCATCTCTCATGCACCATCTCTCATGCACCATCTCTCATGCACCATCTCTCATGCACCATCTCTCATGCACCATCTCTCATGCACCATCTCTCATGCACCATCTCTCATGCACCATCTCTCATGCACCATCTCTCATGCACCATCTCTCATGCACCATCTCTCATGCACCATCTCTCATGCACCATCTCTCATGCACCATCTCTCATGCACCATCTCTCATGCACCATCTCTCATGCACCATCTCTCATGCACCATCTCTCATGCACCATCTCTCATGCACCATCTCTCATGCACCATCTCTCATGCACCATCTCTCATGCACCATCTCTCATGCACCATCTCTCATGCACCATGTCTCATGCACCATGTCTCATGCACCATGTCTCATGCACCATGTCTCATGCACCATGTCTCATGTATAATGTCTGTGTATGCAAGTCGTGCACCATGCTCACATCTTGTTTCCGGCACTCCTTGTATGCGTCGAATTTGTCCTCGCACTTGCTCTTGTCGTAGCCGTTCTTATCCAAACCTGGACACAATAATAGTGGGGATGAAGTGAACGAGCTTGGACACAATCAACAACTGGCGTTTGGTGCACTAGTTACATGCTAAATGCACCTATCCCGTGATCGCGATTGAAGGTGATTTGCAGTAAAGTGTTACCGAGGTGTTACGCGTGCATGTTTGAGTTAGTACGAGATAGCTTTTCGCTACGGTGTGAAGTGAGGAGAGTGGTGACAGAAGGAGTGGTCACTAAAGTATCTAGCGTCGCGCATCGAGCGGCGGAGGTCGTACATTTTAAGGAGTCCGCGTAGTGCGCGGCGCACATGTGATCGGACATGCGACCCGTCCGACGCGCCGCCTCTGCCTCGCGTGCAGCGATGGCCGACTGCTCCGTTGAACCCGGCGCCGAATCCGCCATCGCGCGTCTCTTCAGAGTGCGAGTTACAACTGTAACTCGGGATCCTAAAAACTTTCGTCCTCCCTGGCTCCTTCGTGACGAAGGAAAGCGAATCGACAGCTGACAGTTTGAACGGACCAGTTGACAGCTTTCAGGCCGCACCACAGCGCTTTAGGCTTTCGTGAAAGCTTCTCCCTAGTTCTGCTCTCCCTCTCTGCGTCTGCGACTGCGTTTAAAAGAATCCAAGGTTCGCCAACAGCAACTGGTTTTGGATTAAAACGTGGCGAACCGCGACTGCTGTGCTGTCAATGGGAGCAGCTGGCGGAAAGCGAACGCGAAGGAGCGAAGCGAACGATTTCGAAGAGCACGCAGAACACATATGCCGGATGTTTTGCCGAAGTGAGAAACATAAATCGAGAAGAGGAGCTGCAACTGGCTCTGGATTGTGCGAGATGCACGACAAGTTTGCGCGCTGTCTGGAATTTCGTGAGTGCTTGCGAGTTTCGTGTCCCAGCTTCATCCCAGACGTTCCAAGTTCGGACTCGCTCTGGAAAAGCAGAATTTTGAAGGACGTATTCTCCATGCAGAAATACATGCTTCTTTCTCAAGAAATATGTAACCAGAATCTCGTTAGTCTCGTTTAGTGTTGTCGCTAAACCTTGCAGAGGGGCCAACGTAACTGGAACAGAACGTCGCGAACATTGGCGAGCGCGTGATCATCGCAACCCAGTGTTTAGAGTGTCAATCATTGAAGCACCACAAACAACTTCGGAAGTCAAATCAACCCTCTCCTTAGTCATTGATGCATCGGGACCACGCCTGAAGCAGCTACCGAGCCCGTTACAGGCTTGGTGGAACACCTCGCTCGAGCTCCCCAAGAAAAGTACGACCCACATCATTTTGTGGTGCGTGGTTTCGATCTGAAAGTTCGAACTAGTTCCTCACGAACTGGTAACTCTGACACATCCTCCTCCTTCCTTGCCGTCGCAAGTTTTGCGCTGCTGATCCCCCACGACCCGATCGCTCACACGACCCGATCGTCGCTTTCATTCCAATTCACATGTCGCTGGTGCCACTGCTGGCTCACTCTCTGTCCATGTAGCGTCAGAGGGTCGTAAGCATTGTCACATTTTTAGAGTCCTCAGCAATTTTCCTGTCACGGTATTGCATTTCTCTCCGATTGGGACGTTTGGATTTTGCCAAAGGAGGGGTTGAGTACCTTTTGGCTCCACCTTTAAAATAGAATTTCCCCGTGGCGTCGGATCGGACGGATCACGCGGAAAGCAGCTGCCGTGCCTCTGGGATGGAAGCTGATCAACTAGCAGCAGCAGTTCCCCATGTGGCACTTGCTGCTTCGGCTGAGCTCGCCGCAGGGGACGCGACTGGCGGAGATACGCGCACCGATGGCGGAGCTTTGTGCGCGGATAACGGCGCGCGCGGGAATGAAGATGAGGGGAGAGGTGGAGTGAGTGGGGAAGGCAGAATAGAGAAGAAAAGCGGAGAGGTAGGGAGCGACAAAGGGGATGGAAAAGGAGAAAAGCGGGATGGCGGAGAAAGGACGGAGGGCGGAGCAGGAGGGGAAGAGAGAGAGGGATTAAGCAGCGGCAAGGTATCGAATGACGCTACTAACGGGGACACGAGCGCGCAGGAGGCCAAACCAGTAACTAAAAACGCTACTAACGGGGACGCGAGTGCGCAGGACGACAAGCCGCTGTCGAAGAACGCGCAGAAGAAACTGGCGAAGCGGCAGGCGATGCAGGAGCGGAAAGAGCGCGAGCGCGCGGAGGCGCAGCAGAAGCGTGCGGAGCAGCAGAAGCGCGCGGAGCAGGAGGCGGCGGCCAAGGAGGCGAGCATGACGGCGGAGGAGCGCGCGGAGGCCGCCGCTCGGCAGCGGGAGAAGGCGGAGGCGCGGCGGGTGGCGGAGGCGGAGAGGCGGAAGGCGTGGGCGGAAAAGGCGGAGAAGGGTCCGGGGCTGATAATCGACTTGGAGTTTGAAGAGCTGATGGGGGAGAGGGAGCTGTCGAGCCTGCAGCAGCAGGTGAGGGGCAGGAGATGGGCATAGGAGGTTACTGCAAGGGGAATGAGGGTTCGAGGTTTAAGGATTTGGCCGTATGGCAGCATGGTGCAAGGGGATTGAGGGTCCGGGGCTCATTATTGACTTGGAGTCTGAAGAGTTGATGGGGGAGAGAGCTGTCGAGCCTGCCGCAGCAGGTGAGGATGGCGGGTTTAGGGTTTCAAATATCGACTTCAGTGTTGAGGAGTGATGGAGGGCTGTGGAGCCCCTCGTGTGGTTCCACTCCCAGTCAGCGCCTAGTTGGTTTTCCTACGACTTTTGAGGTGCCTCATAAGCCACTTCCCCCCCGTACCGCAGGTCGTGTACTCAACTGCTTCCCCCCGACTCCCCCATCCCATTCTACCCCTTCACCCCATCTCTTCTTCCCCCCAGGTCATGTTCTCCTACGCACTGAACCACCGCGCCCCCTCCCCCTGCCGCCTCACCCTCTCCGGCCTCCCCCCAGCCAGCCCCTTCCTGCACCGCCTGCAGCGAATCGCCGGCTTCGACAGCTGGCACGGCGTGACTGTGGAACCCCGTTCCTATATCGAAGCCTGGGCGGGCAGGGAGGGGGAACTGGTGTATTTGACTGCAGATGCGGAGGAGGAGGTGGGGGAGGTGGAAGCGGGGAAGGTGTATGTGGTGGGGGGGATAGTGGATCACAATCGGTACAAGGGGCTGACTAAGGGGAAGGCGGAGAAGCAGGGGATTAAGACGGCAAGGCTGCCAATCGGGAAATACCTCAACCTGAAAACTTCCAAGGTGGGTGTTCAGAATGGTGCAGTGCGGTGCTGTGCGATGGAGATGAGTGCAGTACGATTTAGTGTGGTGCAGTGAGATGTAACGTGTGGTGGGGGAGATAGTTGATCACAATCAGTCCAAGGGGCTGACGAGGGGGAAGGCGGAGAAGCAGGGAATCAAGAGAGGTTGCCAATTGGGAAATGCCTGAACTTGAAGACTTCCAAGGTGGGTAAGCAGAGTGATGCAGCACAGTGTTGTGCGGTGCTGTGCAGTGCACTGCAGTGCAGTGCAGTGCGGTGAGATGTATTGTGTAGAATGGTAGACTTTTTGGACATTGCATGGACCGAGAGAACGGCAAGCTGTATGACAATTGACCATGTTGCCTCAGCCATCATTTTCACCCCTTGCACTACCTGCAGCACAGGGACTCGTAACTTGTTGCTTGTTTCCCACAGAGTTTCCCTCGTTCCCTGTTTGTTTTAACAGGTGCAAGTGCTAGCAGTGAACCACGTGGTGGACATCATTCTGCAGCACCTGCACCACAGGGACTGATGGTGATTTGTGCAGGAACTACTACCTCCGTTGCTTCTCTCACCTCACTCCACCCCGCTACACTACACTACACCCCTCTCCACCCCACCCTGCCTGCCTCCCAGGTATTGGCTGTGAACCACGTGGTGGACATAACCCTGCAGTACCTGCAGCACAGGGACTGGGAGAAAGCAGTGGCGGTTGTTGTGCCAACCTGCCATTCTGTGCTGTTGACCCATTTCACCTTATAACCATCCCCTTTGTTCGCCCCGTGCAGGTGCTGGCTGTGAACCATGTGGTGGACATTATTCTGCAGTACCTGCAGCACAGGGACTGGGAGAAAGCAGTGGCGGCTGTGGTGACAGCTTACTGTTTGCCCCAACCACTAATACCACCCCATTTGTTTTCCCCGTGCAGGTACTGGCAGTGAACCATGTGGTGGACATTATTCTGCAGTACCTGCAGCACAGGGATTGGGAGAAAGCAGTGGCGGCTGTTGTGCCTGATAGGAAGAAGACGGACAGACCTGAGGGTGACAATAATGAGAGTGATACTAGTGAAAGAGAAGCTAAGAGGGCTAAATGTGAGAGCAAAGAATGACTGCGACTGATTGTCCAGGTTCTGTTGGGTGCCTCGATTGTTTTGACAAATGTATTATGCGTCTGGTGAAAATCACTATTGAAGGAGATTCATATGCGATGCACTGAAAAAATATGTGCAAACATCCTACTTAATCAATCATTTGAAACAAGCACGTGCTAAGTAGGTCAGCGTACACCCTGAAGAACAATACAGTACAGTACATTATCTGCATGCGGCAATATCGCGGTGATGCATCGGTTGCATTCCATCTTTTCCCTCAAGGCTCGAGTCAACATTTCCTTCGCGACTTTTCCGAAAAACCCAGCTCTCTCCAGTCACATCGTCTCTTCTCAACTTATTTCGTCCTTCTGAATGCGTTGGTTCTAGGATTAGTTACAGGGCTGGCATGGCGGAGTCATTAACGCGATTCTATCCGGCGAATGCGGTGTTAGAGCCTTCGCGATCGTCTAGCGTTAGGTCGTCTTGCGAGCATTGCGGAGGAAGAACGGCGAGTTTCACGAAAGGCAGTTACCAAATACCGAGTCGACGAACCACTGGCGATCTTCCCGATAGGAGCAGCACCGCACGATCAACCCGAGCAAGAGTTCTTCCGTCTCATCCTCGATATAGTCCATCTCGTCTAAATAGTCTAGAAACAGTTCGAGAGTGCCATCCGTTAAGTTTCTCACGGAGCTCTGCTCGCTTCGAAGGGACAGCCGACACGGGAGCTGATCAACGGTCATCCTTCGCGCAGGCTGGCAGTGTGAACAGTGCGAATCCACGATCGCGAAGATCGCGAAGCTCGCGAGGATATTTTCAGCGATGCCAGGCTGGCACGGATGACTCGGCGCGCTTCACGAGCTTCGAGCGCGAGCAGGAGGGCAATGAAGCGGAGGAAAGGCGGCGGACGGCAGCTGGGCGGCAGGCCGGTGGCCGGCCGGGCGTGTCGTTTTCTGCAGCTGGCCGGAACGGCGACAACAGTTTCAACGGCGTGTTCCTGCTGCTTCTGCTGAACCTTCTGGCGTTTCTAGCCGATCACTTTCTACGGGTATGACTTTGCGACGGGTACGACTTTTGGGCCGCCTCGAAACTTGCTGCAGCGTCTTGCTCAAAGACTTCGTTTCTTGCCGTTAAGAAATACAGATGGAATTATTATAGCATTCTTCTTGGATCAGTTGCTACGGGTACAGACGAACAGTCTGACTGCCACCCTTCACCACCCTACACCAAAGCTTACTAGTTCGACTCGTTCCTTTCTTTCTCCCTTGGATATCACATATGCAACTCCTTCCATTCTCTGTAGCAGCCAAACAGCAAGTAGCCGAACTTCTCGATTTCCTGATCGACTAAAAATCCTTCCATTTTCCGTAGCAGCTAGACAGCAAGCAACCGAACTTCTCCTTTCCTCTTACACCTATCCGTTAGCATCTATCTCTTCTCCCCTTACCTCTCTCCCCTCGCCTCTGCTCCCACCAGCTCCCAGTGTGGTCGTCTCTCTATCTGCACCACGCCTCTCCGCGCTGGTACCAGTTCGTCACCTCAACATTCTGCCACGCTGGCTGGTGAGTTGCTTGAAAGTTCTTGAGTCGTCATTGACAGTTCTTGAGTTCAAGCGGATGTTCTCTGCCTTTTAAGCATTTATTTTTTAGGCATGCTTATATGCCACGTGGCAAGCATATCCGCCGTGCACCATTGTTATTCTTACATACCTTTCACTGTATCCTCTTACCAAATCCTCCCTTTTTCCCCCTCCCTCTCCCCTCCCTCCCTTTCTCCAACAGGAGCCATCTCTCAAGCAACCTCTTCTTCCTCTACATATTCGGTACGCTCTCTCTCTCTTTCTCCCCCGCTCCCTCCTTCTTACAACGCATACCTCCCCCACCTCTCGCCCATTCACCATCTCTCTCTAGCTCAACCCAGGAGCCATCTCTCAAGCAACCTCTTCTTCCTCTACATATTCGGTACGCTCTCTCTTTTCTTCTTCTCCCTCCATATTGCCCCGTTTCCTTCTCCGCATGCTTGTTTACCTCCCTGCAGCGGACTTTTAATCTCATTGACTCACCTCCATCCCATTGCCTCACCTCCATCCCATTGCCTCACCTCCATCCCATTGCCTCACCTCCATCCCATTGCCTCCATCCCATTGCCTCACCTCCATCCCATTGCCTCACCTCCATCCCATTGCCTCACCTCCATCCCATTGCCTCAACTCCATCCGATTGTCCCACCCCTATCCGATCGCCCCACCTCCATCCGATCCCATGCTCTAACCTCGTCTCATGGCTGCCACTCCCCTCTTCCTCCCTCTCACTCAAGGAACAAAAATACGGTCGTATTTTTGAAATGTTACCGTTTTAAACGGTTTCTCATAATAGGCTCCTGTGAGAAATCGTAGAGCAATTTCAAAAAAACGACCCTATTTTTGTTCCTTCTCACTACCTCGTTCACACATTCACTCACTCTTTCTCTCAGGTCGGCTAGTGGAGGAGGAGGAGGGAACCCTGGGCCTGTGGGTAACCTACCTCGTGACAGGCGCAGGTTCCAACCTCGTGTCCTGGCTGCTCCTCCCGTCGTACACCGTCTCTGTCGGTGCCTCTGGTGCCGTCTTTGGCCTCTTTGTCGTCAGCGTGCTTACCCGGGTAAGTACTGATTCTCACTGCGATGAATATGGCTTGCGAAATGGTGCAGTGCGGTGCTGGGGTATTCACAACTTGTCCTGGCTGCTCCTCCCATCGTAAACCGCCTCTGTCGGTGCCTCTGGTGCTGACTTCGGCCTCTTCGTTCGTTGTCAGCGTGCTTACCCGGGTACGTACGTATAATTCCATGGTTGCTGCAGCTGCAGTGGAATTTGAGGAGGATCGCGGAGGTGACTGACCATTTTTGAGATGTTTGCACACTTGTGCGTGCTTCCGCCACTGAATGCTCCTCGTGATAACTCTTGCTCTCTTGTTCCTGTGTGTTCATTCCATTGCCTGTTGCAGCTGCAGTGGAACTGGAGGAGGATCGCGGAGGTGACCGACTGTTCTTGAGATGTTTAATCATTGTGGCTGGTTCCTCCCCTTGTTTCTTCCGTTAACTGTTGCAGCTGCAGTGGAACTGGAGGAGGATCGCGGAGGTGACCGACTGTTCTTGAGATGTTTAATCATTGTGGCTGGTTCCTCCCCTCGTTTCTTCCGTTAACTGTTGCAGCTGCAGTGGAACTGGAGGAGGATCGCGGAGGTGACCGACTGTTCTTGAGATGTTTAATCATTGTGGCTGGTTCCTCCCCTTGTTTCTTCCGTTAACTGTTGCAGCTGCAGTGGAACTGGAGGAGGATCGCGGAGGTGACCGACTGTTCTTGAGATGTTTAATCATTGTGGCTGGTTCCTCCCCTTGTTTCTTCCGTTAACTGTTGCAGCTGCAGTGGAACTGGAGGAGGATCGCGGAGGTGACCGACTGTTCTTGAGATGTTTAATCATTGTGGCTGGTTCCTCCCCTCGTTTCTTCCGTTAACTGTTGCAGCTGCAGTGGAACTGGAGGAGGATCGCGGAGGTGACCGACTGTTCTTGAGATGATTAATCATTGTGGCTGGTTCCTCCCCTTGTTTCTTCCGTTAACTGTTGCAGCTGCAGTGGAACTGGAGGAGGATCGTGGAGGTGGTCATTCTGGGGCAGTTCGTGGTAGAGAAGGTGAGAGGAGGGGAGGGGAGGAGGGGGGAGAGAGGAGGGGGAAGGGGGGGCGGGATAGAGGACCGTTCGGGAGGAAAGAAAACAAACTCGAGGAGGGTCGCTGAGGTGGTTATCGTGAAACAAACTCGAGGAGGGTCGTTGAGGTGGTTATCGTGAAACAAACCCGAAGAGGGTCGTTGAAATATACCATCCTCTTCCACCGATCCCTCCCACCTCTCGAACTCTCCCTCTTATCCCCACGCAGGTCCTGTCAGAGGCGCGGAACTCGGCAATCATGGGGGTGGGCATGGCGGCAGGGTCGGGAGTGAACCACATCGCCCACCTGGCAGGGGCGCTGGTGGGAGTGCTGCTCATCTGGATGGTGTCCCGCCTGCCTGATGCCAGCAGCAGGGATAGCGGGGAGGGGAGTGGCAAGAACCCTCGTGTGACATAGCATGTTGCTCACCTGCTGCACCTCTGCTCTGTTGCTGCTCTTGCTAGGAGTGCTACTCATTTGGCTAGGGTCACGCCTGCCCGATGGGAGCAGCAGGGATGGTGGGGAAGGAAGTGGCAGGGACAGCAGCAACAGCACAGATGGCGGGAAGGCAGCAGCAGAGTGCAACTCACGGAGCATGCTGCTCGCCTGCTGACCCCCAATCACTCTTTGCATGCTCCTCTGCTGTTCCTTTGCTCTAGTATTGCTCCTGTCTGTCAGTAAATCTGCACAGTGGATGCCCGATTGATCCTTAAGGGGGTTACAGGCACGTTCGCCTGGGGGGGTTATGGGCGCACGAACCCGCTACACAAACAAGCCTTTTTATCCCAGTGGTCTAGTGGTTGAGAGCGGTCTCGGGTTCGAATCCCGGTGTATGGGCATGTAGGCCTTCGCCGCTGTACTCAGTCCTGGGCCTCCCAGCTGTTAGACCCTAATGAGCAGGAATGGTTGCATTGATTGAGTTGTGGGTACAAGCACTAACCCTAACATTGGGTTGTACCCTATATGGGCTACCCCATTATAGCTTACATTGAACTAGCACAGATATAGTTTGGCACACCCCCATAGGCAAAGTGTGGGAGAACAAGGGGTCACAACTCCAGTCAAGAAAAGCAAAGCAAGCTCAGGGTGGATCATAACGTCACCACACACTCCGAGCAGAAGCAAAGGGCCACAAGGCCAGTTCACATGCAGAGGTATATATGCAACAACAACAACAGTACAGTGATCACTACCTAGCAAGAGTAAACATGCAGGTATATACATATATATACACATATATATATCACAGTACAACCAAAATCTATAACAAGGGAGGAAACGTAGGCACCACGCCTAGAGCAGTGCAGTGCAGAAGCGCTGATGATCACCAGCCGGAAGGGCCTTGGTGAACACATCAGCCGTGTTCGCTCCGGAGGACGAGTGAGCGACACGAAGCTGACCACGCTGCTGCAACTCTCGAGCAAGGAAGTAACGCAGAGCGATGTGCTTCGTTCTGTGCTCAAGTCTGTGCTCCTGACACAAGGCAACGTCAGCCTTGTTGTCGACGTACAGAACTGGAGGAGAACGAGGCCTCTCTCCCAAGTCAGTCAGCAGGTAGGTGAGCCAGCGTAACTCCTGTGCAGCCATGGCTGTGGCGTAGATCTCAGCCTCACAACTGGAGCTGAGAACAGAAGACGAGCGTGTAGACCGCCAAGAAACAGAGCCAGAGCCAAGGCTCAACGTGTAACCCTGTGACGACCGCTGCGTAGCCAGGTCGTCAACCCAAGAAGCGTCAAAGTGCTCAGTGAAGACAACTGGACTCCGCCCTCCAAGCACGAGCCACATGCCCGATGTACTGCACAAGTAGCGCAGTACCCTCTTCGCAGCATCGAAGTGCACCTTTCGGTGCCTGCCAGGAGCCACGTAGCGTGCTAGAAGGCCAAGAGGGTACGCAAGGTCAGGACGAGTGCAGGTCACCAGGTACATGAGGCAGCCCACTAGCTCTGGGTATGGACCACTCGGCTCTACGGACTCGTCCGAAGGTGGAGCTGAGAGCGAGTGACCTGTAGCCAGGGGAGTGGACTGTGGCGAGGACCAAGTGAAGCCGAAGCGCTGAAGGACCTGCTGCACCATGTGTGACTGGGTCAGTGTGATGGTGCGCCGTGCTCTGTCCCGGCTAATCTGCAAGCCAAGGTAGCTGCGCAGCTCACCTAGGTCTGTGCACGTGTGTCTCTTCTGCAGCTCCGACTTCACAAGGGCGAAAGCCTCAGTGTCAGCAGTGGCAAAGATCAAGTCGTCGACGTACACGAGGATGTAGAACGGCTGCAACAAAGTGTCGGTGCGCAGAAGCAGCGACGGGTCAGCAGTGGAAGGTGCCAACCCAAGAGCCGCAAGTGTAGTCCTCAGTGTGTCGTGCCACTCGCGAGGCGCCTGACGGAGACCGTAGACCGGCCGGCGGAGGCTCCACTGGGTACCAGGAGGGAACGACCCAGTGAAGCCAGGTGGGCGGCGCAGCCAGATCTCCTCATGCAGACTGCCCTGTAAGAACGCTGTGCGAAAGTCCAGAGAGTGAAGCTCGTAGTCACGTTGAGCGGCAACGTGCAGCAGCACCCGAAGAGTGGTCATCTTCGGGGTGGGGGAGAAGGTATGGAAGAAGTCAACTCCCTGTCGCTGACTGAAGCCTCGTGCAACGTAGCGAGCCTTGAAGACAGGCGGAGAACCCGGCGACCGCTTCACCCTGAAAATTCACATGCCATCGACTACGTTCACCCCAGGAAGGGGAACTGTGTCGACGTAAGTGTGTGTGGACATCCAGGATGCCATCTCTGCGTCCATGGCTGTCTGCGACTGAGAAGAGTACTCACCCGCGATCGCCTCAGCGTAAGAGCGCGGGGTCGGGATGTCTGGAGCTTCTGGGTCTCCCTCAGGGGCAAGCAGCATGGCCACGAGATGAGGCGCAGCGGCTGCAAGACACTCAAAGTCCTCCTGCCTGTCCTCAATGTCGAACCAGCAGGCAAAAGTTAGAAACAGGAAAGAGGGCTTTTCACTAGCAGCAGTTGAGATACATATAGGAAACCCTAATTGGGTTGTACTTGCTATAGAGTACCCCACTGCATGTTAGACAAACATCGACATTCTGACACTCAAGGACGTCCGTGCCAAGAGCACACTCACCCCCGACGGACGAAGGACAGACAGACTCAGACTCAGCAACAAGACTAGCAGCGAAGTCTAGACGACAGGCAGCAGCAAAGTCAACAAGCTCAGAGACTAAGGCAGACGCAGCAGCAGACTCAAACGACGGGTCAGTGACAACAGTGACTAGTAGACGCGTGACAGTAGGGTGAGCAGCATGAACTAGGTCAAACTCAGGGTCCGGAACGTCAGACAGAGAAGACGAAGGAGGAGAAGGCAGGGGAACATGCTGTGGAACGGAGGAAGGACGAAGTGCCATAGTGTGCGTGCCAGGGACAGGAGGATGCTCACGAGGAACACGACAACCAGTGCGACCAGCGCGAACAGGCGAGGCAGGACGAGACGCATGCTCACGACGTTCTGTAAGCGAGTCTGTCTGGTCAGTGTAAGGAGAAGAAGCAGGCAGTGGAGAGCCTGGTTGTAACGGGAGGCCAGTAGAAGACGGGAGGCTAAGAACCTGGCGAAGCACGGAGTCAGGCGGTGGGAGAGACGACGGTGACGGCGGAGCGAAGAACAGTCGCGGCTGTGCAGTACCACCAGCACCAGTACCACCAGCACCAGTACCACCAGCACCAGTACCTCCAGCAGCAGCAGATCCTCCAACTCCAGCGCCTTTAGCTCCAGCACCTCGAGCTCCAGGGTCTCCAACTCCAGCGCCTCCAGCGCCAGCGCCTCCAGCTCCAAAGCCCGCAGCACCACCAGCTCCGGCAGCTCCAGCACCTCCAGGACGAGCACCAGTAGCACCAGCTCCTCCAGCAGCTCCAGACTCTCCCGCCCCAGGACCTCTAGCAGCAGCACCCCCAGAACTGGCACCTCCAGCTCCAGGGTCTCCAACTCCAGGGTCGACAACACCAGCTCTAGAGCCACCAGCTCCAGGGCCTCCAGCAGCAGCACCCCCAGAACCAGCACCTCCAGCCCTAGGGGCTCCAGCTCTAGCGCCTCCAGCTCCAGTGCCTCCAGCTCCGGCCGTGCGACTCCGAAGGCGGGTGCGCGAAGCAAGCCACTCGCGCAACTGTCGCGGCGAAAGAGTTGACCGCTGCAATGCGGCACAAGGAGGACCTCTAGCAGACTCAGCACCCTAGGCTTAGCACCAACAGACTCAGTACCCCCTGGGCCAGCACCTAGAGGGCCAGCACCTCTAGCTCCAAGGTCTTGAACTCCAACGTGAGGCTCTCCAGCTCCAGTGCCTCCAGCACCACGGACCCCGGTAGCTCGAGTACCTCCGGTACGAGCACCTCCAGGACCCTCAGCGCCAGCACCCCCAGCGCCTCCACGACGAGCAGCTCCAGCAGCTCCAACCGCAGCACCTCGAGCAGCAGTACCTCCAGCACCAGCAGCACGACTCCTCAGGCAGGTACGCCACGCCAGTCACTCTCGTAGCTGGTGTGGTGAGAGAGGCCCCCGTCGTGAAGAGAGACCCCCCAGACTCAGCACCCTCCGGCTCAGCATCCCCAGGCTCCGCACCCCCCAGCACCTCACGCACAGGCTCAGCACCCCTAGACGCAGCTGTTATAATACGGTCTTAACTTAGGAACCGGGTTTAGGGAGGGCCTAGGCTTAGTAGCCTAGGCCAAGCAAGTGTCGAGGTCAAGGCCAAGGGAGTGTCGAGAGAAATTGACCAAACAAGTTAGCTTCACTAAAGCAAAGCATACAAGATATAGTCGAGAAACACAAACAAGGGGTGCACCACCAACAGCAAAGAATAATAACTACAGTAACTACAGCAAGCAGGATAAATCTTAAATATAACTTTGACACACCCCCTTAGCCTGCTTGCAGTAGGAACTAGAGTAGTCAACACCCCCTGAAGGGGTATAGCTGGCGCAGTGGGAGATGGCAGAGGGGTACGTGAGGGGAGGCGGCGAGAGGGAGAGAGGAGAGTAGAGGAAATGAGAACACAGGAGGAGGTGAGTGAGGGATGAGGGGAGGAGGTGGGGGGGTGGCCACGGCGTCCCCTCTTACTAACCCCCTTTTACGAAAGGGGGGTTGAGTGGGGGATGAGGAGAGGAGGTGGGGGGGTGGCCGCAGCGTCCCCTCTTACTAACCCCCACATCCCCACCCCCAATCAACCACCCTCCTTCAACCTCACCCCCCATTTCAGCCGCCCCCTTGAACCGCACCCCCTCCCTCCCTTCCTTCCTCCACACCCCTGCCCCACCCACAGTTGTCTCTGCCCTGTCCTTCACACGGCAGCCAGCCCTCCCGCCCCCCCGTCCCCGCCACCTACCCCCCACAGTAGCAGCCACGGGAGGGGAGAGGCAGGGCAGTGGGTGGTGCTCTGCTGGCGGGGTTCTCTGCTGGCGGGGTTCTTTGCTGGCGGGGTTCTCTGTTGGCGGGGTTCTCTGCTGGCGGAGTGCTCTGCTGGCGGGGTTCTCTGCTGGCGGGGTTCTCTGCTGGTGCTGGTTCCTGGTGCTGGCGCTGGTGCTGGTGCTGGTTCCTGGTGCTGGCGGCTGGCGCTGGTTCTGGTTCCTGGTGCTGGCGGCTGGCGCTGGTGCTGGTTCTTGGTGCTGGCGGCTGGCGCTGG